TACAAAAATCTTTTAACACACTGATGGTTTCTAACTGTAATGATGTCCATTATATCGTGTCATTAAATTCAATACAGCCAAAAAGGCTGACCACATTTTACTATTGTTCTCTCTTTTAGGATTTACACTACTTCAGTGAATGGTCAGATAAATTATATGGCTATGAAATACTACTTGCTTAAAAAGCACACACAAAATATTTTACGACTTCATGCTCTGTAAACATCAAGTTTTTCATTTTTATAAACTTACAACTATGGTGTTTGTTTTGGTAAGAAACACCATATTAGGAATGATTATGGGAATGCTGGTTTTTTTTTTTTTTTTTCGTTTTTAGGGGTTTTTTTGATTTTGGCTTTTTTAAGAAGTTACCTCCTGTTGTTCTTGATATTTCTCAGATTGCTGTGTTTCTCGAAGGCTGGTAGCACAACTGAACTGCTTGCACCAGAGTTGCCTAGCACCTTGCTAACAAAATGCAGATTCCTTGGTCCCATGGCTGTTGATGCGAAATCTCTAAAGAAAGGGCTCTCAGGTTCTCAGATGACCCTTATAAAAATTATGATCTGAAAACCATTTTTCTACCATCATTGTCCTCAAAGTTAAAATCACAAAATATCAAGTGGATTTAAGAATAATGTTTAATTTTCAAATTTTACAAATTGCATCTAAACATAAAGGGGAAAGGCATTGTCATAAATCAAGAAACAAATGTATTTTTACAGCAATCTCAATCTTGCATTATACATCATTTTAGTAAAGCAGAAAAACATGGTAAGAGCCTATGGCAATGTAGAACAGAATGCTGTAGTTAAGAATTTTTAAGCAAAAGCAAAGTAAATTAATCACAGATTTTTATAGAGTATAATGTAGGGGCATAAAAGACAACATAAAAGTTGAGTAGGCCGGGCGCAGTGGCTCACACCTATAATCTTAGCACTCTGGGAGGCTGAGGCGGGCGGATCACTCAAGGTCAGTAGTTTGAAACCAGCCTGAGCAAGAGTGAGACCCCATCTGTAATAAAAATAGAAAGAAATTAATTGGCCAACTAAAATATATATAGCCAACATATATATAACAAATATATATTAAATATATATATTAAATATATATAGCCAACATATATATATAGCCAACATATATATTAAAATATATATGGCCAACTAAAAATATATATAGAAAAATTTAGCTGGGCATGGTGGTGTATGCCTGTAGTCCCAGCTACTCAGGAGGCTGAGAAAGAAGGATTGCTTGAGCCCAGGCGTTTGAGGTTGCTATGAGCTTAGGCTGACACCAGGGCACTCTAGCCGGAGCAACACAGTGAGAAAAGAAAAAAAGAAAAAAAAAAAGGTTGAGATAATAAGCCTGGAAATTGCATATGTATAAAGAATTTAGTATTTTTAAAGCATGTAATAAGACAACAATCTTCATGTATCAGAATAAAAGCATATTAATGGGTAAAAAAAAAATTCCGATGCTTCATTTCACAAACTCCTGTGAATTAGAACAAAAGGATTTCTACTACTATTAAAATACCAATGTGCTACTCTGCAACCAAAACACTGAAAAACAAAAATCCTACAACATCAAAGCCAGTATCACCAGGAAATGGAACAAATCAATATTCCTGCCCAAAGGTACATAAATTAAGTCTAATCATGAGGAAACATCAAACAAACCCAAATTGAGAACTGACTACAAAACTGTCCTTACTGTTGAAAAAAATGTCAACATCATGAAAGAAAGATGAAGAAAAACCAAGGAACCACTCTAGACTAAGAGATGGCAATGAAATGTAATTCCTGGACCTGGATTGAATCATGATGCAGAAGACAGGTGTGTGTGTGTGTGTGTGTGTGTGTGTGTGTTTGCATCCACAGTGATGAGACTGGAATAGGATATGTGGATTAGATAAAGGCATTGCATCAATGTTGATTTCCTGATTTTGATCATTATACCATGGCAATGTAAGAGAATGGCCTTGTGCTTAGGAAATGTACACTGAAGAAATTCCGAGGTGAATGTTTTCAACTTACTCTCAAATGGTTCACAAAATAACTTGGAAAGAGAGAGAATGCTACAGCAAATGAAGCAAAATGTTAACAAGTGAGGAATCCAAGATCTAAAGGAGATCTTTCTACTATTCTTACAACTTTCCCATAAGTTTGAGATTATTTCAAAATAAAGAGTGACAAAAATATTCTTAAGTTCTAACAGGAACACTAAAAGAAAAAATTTTAGATCTTTAAGCTCCTAGAATGAAGCTAATGTTTAAATATTTTTTAAAATTTAGACTAAAATATGAACAAATTGAATTTGAAGTTCTATTAAATGTGTTCATACTAGAAATTATAAAACTGTGTTCCTGTTATTTTTCATTCTATCAATTATATGTATAATCCAGATCTATATGTATGCAAAAGGAAAACATCTCTACACTTCACATATTCATTTGAAAAATATTTTAAATGTTGCCTTTTACACTAATTTTTCCTTCAATGACCCCTTAATGATTTATTGTATCAGTCTCATTATCTATAACTGATTTTGAGTTTGTTCTAAAACAGTTTTAAGCTAGAATGTTGTCTATTTAGTAGTGCCCTGATATTCTTATACATATATATACATAAAAGAACCTGTCCCATCAGATCACCAACATACTGTATTTTGCCAAAGCACAAATAATTATTTTACAATGTGATTTACTAACCAATCTAATCTTTAGTAATTGCGCTAAAGGTTTACTGTGTAGGGTGGAGAGAGATAAGATAGGAGGAAGATGTTAATTCCCTACAATAGAACCTGGCACACAGTAGACATACGATAAGTATTTATGGGGGAAATAAGGATGATTGCAAGATTCTAGATCACTTGCAATGTATCACTAGAAACCACGAGATTGCCTCACAATAATTAGATGCTTAAAAATCTAAAGATGTGAAAATAATGCTTCTGACAATCTACAGATGTCAAATAACAAAGGCTTTTGGTGAAAATGACTTATGTTGATTTTGGCATGCTTTTAAAAAAGTTTTAACTATCAGGGATGTTGCTGTATTAATAGTAAATTAAGACCTTGAAAAATATTTTTAAACTTGCATATTTTATAATATATTAAGCTATAAAACTATGAAAAATTAAAAACAGAATTGAAAGGAATGTCACCAAATACAATTGAAAGTTGTTAGCATCAAAATTTCTTGATGTGTGTTTTTCAAATGACAAAGGCTACAGGACTGAATTCAAGTTCTATCTGATTCAAGCCCCGACTTGTCTATTAACTTGTACCCCCATAATACGCTAAAATAAAAAACAATAAAAATAAAACATAAAAAAATAAAAAATAAATAAATACAAAGGTGGTAAATCATAACCCTCGTATTAAATACTTTCATGTTAGGTTTAGAAATAATCTGTTCTTATTTAAAGTGTTTATAATATTTAAAAGACCTTAGCATATTAGACTACCTTACCGATGTCTTGTGATTCCATTTATTTAAAACAGAAATTGACCTATAATTTCAAATTTTAAAAAGTAAGAGTGTAGGCAAATGTGTAAGTGGCATTCTAATATTTACGAGAAATAGATTTACCAAATGTGTAAATTAAGTTTAGATTTACACAAGCCTTTGAAATGCTTTGGAATTTTTTTTTTTTAATTAGGACCATGTGCTTACTTGGTCAGGTATTTGCAACACAAAGTTAATTGAATATAGTAAACCCATTAATACAGTTTAAAATATTTAAGGGATGTTGCTGAATACAAAATCAATAGATGAAAGCAATGCTATTTTCATATTCCAGCAACAAGAAAATGAAATGGCCCACATATAAGTGGATACTTGATATATGACAAAGGGGACTTCAGGGAAGTGGGAGAAAAACAGTAAAAAAAAAAAAAAAAAGTTATGGTGACTTAGGGAGAAATTCAAAAGATACAGTGACAGGAAACAAGTGCAAAGGAATTTCAAATACTTTTTAAAAGTCAAACTACTGTTTAGCACTTTATTTTCTACATAAATGACAGTTTAGAATTGGTTGAACATAGAAGATACTGAAGATAAACTAATTTAAAGTTTTGAGAATATTAATACAGGTCACCAAATGGTTTAATGCGCTTTCATTTTTATTAAACTTAATCACAATTCCTACTTCAAGATATTTCACAACTTGAGGGGAAAAAAAGAGTTATACAAATGCTTAAAGGGAGTACCAGAAAATTTTGGGACTATAATTTAAAATACTTTTCACTAGACAGGCATCTAATAAAATAAATATGTGAATTTCTTATACTATGTTACCAAAGGGGGAAAACTCCCTGAAAATTTCTTCCATATAAAAATTCAAGATGAAAACTGATCAAGTAGTATAGGAGCAGAAAGAACATTAGGATTTTGAGAATTAGTAACCTAATCCATATTGCTTAATAAAACATTCAGCTGCAGAGGAAACATTAAAGTATAATGTAATGAAAGAAATAGCACCTTTAAAAAACCAAGTTATTTAAAACATTCTGAACTAGAAATCTCTACAGGAAAAAATTTTGTAAAGGAACACAAAATCCAGCAATTCTGAAAAGTGTAATGTTACATACTGATAGTAATGAAACGATACAGAACATTTATAGGCAAAATTACATGTAGATATCTATAGTAGGCAAAAGTTCCTTTTCTTTTAAAGTCACATATTTAATATCCTAATATTTAATATAATATTATAATAATCAGCATACTTTAATACAGGAGGGAATTTTTTTAAAGGACTACTTAAGAATCAAAGCAGTATTGAAGTATCTTTGTTGTATCTTTTTATCAAACACGAGGACAGAAGCTTTGTTATAAAAATTTTTGCTGCTCAATGGAATTCTGAGTAAAATGACTCTGTTTTTAGAACATACCCTGAAACTTTTAGTTACCTAAGTACCACAAAGAGTAATATGATTTTTGCAAGACTATTCCATGGTATAGGGCAGTCTTTCTCCGAGTTCTGAGTACAATATTATGAAAAGACATCATTTCTTTTTTTTTTTTTTTTAACCAGTGGGGCTAAGAGTATACTTACACTATTCGTAACCCCTTAAAATCCTTACAGTTGAAAAAGTTGTCCTTTAGTGGTTAATTCAAATAAAAATAAATCTGCTTAGTGGTATACACAATTTCAAAGGCCTAGAAATACTTTCAAGGAATCTTTTCCAATGGTGGCATCTACTTGAATTCATTTCTTTTCATGCTGCTACTTTATCTACAGCAAAAGTCTTACCAAATTATGTCCACGATTCCAAAAATTGTTATTAATCACAAAGGCTGCCTTATAACCTGAAAAAATAGACTGTAGGTTCAAGAAATACCAACACATTATTAACAAGTTATTATAATTTTGCCTTTAGTTTCATTTATAAATATCACATAAATATCACTGGCAGGTATATCATAATGTGAAATCATTAAACTAATTCCTAAACATTGATTTAAGCAGCTAGGTATTTAGTGAAACCAACAAAAAGGTTTTTTTCCCTCAGGTCATACACCCAATTATTTTCTTAATGATCAACACCTACCCAGGAGTTGGTAATATTTGCACAGTTCTCATAAAAAACAGAGCTGGCACAATATGAAGACAAACACTCGCAAATACCACGTGTCTCGGTTATATTTTAAGAAACCATACGATCCATGGTATATTTCATGAAGTTGTTTATTCTTGTTATTCAAACTTGGACTCAAGTAATCCTGGTAATTCTGGAAAAAGCACCTTGTTTGTAGGGATCATTTAATCATCCTTTTCTACAATCACCTCTCCATGAAGCACCTTTCTTCTTTGACGTAACATATGAAAATAGAGTTGTGGAAACACTTCATTGAAAAAAAGAAAACAAAGAAAGATAAGCGATTGCTTTACATTTATACTTGAAACTTGTTACATGTGTTGAAATTTGAGAATAAGTACATTCTGGATCACTCACTGCTACCCTCTAATATTTACTGAGCTCAGGTTAAGACTTCTAATAGAGGCCTACCTACTCCATGCCTAAATATTTTAGTGCCATAAACTGCTGAGGTTTTGTTTTTGAGACAGAGTCTCACTCTGTTGTCCAGGCTAGAGTGCCATGGTGTCAGCCTAGCTCACGGCAACCTCAAACTCCTGGGCTAACGTGATCTTCCTGCCTCAGCCTCCCAAGTAGCTAGGACTATAGGCATGCACCACTATGCCCGGCTAATTTTTTCTATATATATTTTTAGTTGTTCAGCCAATATCTTTCTATTATTCAGTAGAGACGGGGTCTTGCTCTTGCTCAGGTTGCTCTCAAACTCCTGACCTCAAGCAATCCTCCTGCCTCTGCTTTTCAGACTGCTAGGATTACAGGCCTGAGCCACTGCGCTGGCCTGTTTTCCTTATTTTTTAGCAAACTCAAATACAATGATAAAAATATCTTCCCAATGACCTGGGAGGCCATGTTTGAATTCAGAATTCTGGAATTCTGAGCCAAAAAGCCCCAGCACGAGGGAAGCCGAGCTGCCTGGCCTCTTTCTCTCTGGTCTCTTGGCTGTATTCGGAACCATGAGGGGTCTTAGGCCCATGTGCGTGGATATTCCAGTGTATATGTATATATATATATATATAAGCTTCATCCATAAACCTCACAAACGGCTGTCCCTTGGCTATCCTGTGATCTCAGGAGTGCATACACTGGTACACGTTAGCCCTCAGGCCAATGGATCAAAGAAGAATCCTATAGAAGCCTTGGTACATGTTGAACACCATCTGGGCAGTGACGTCCATGGTTCTAGGCTTCCAGAATGTGATCTAGGAGCAGTTGGCAGGCTATGTGGAGGGGTGACCAGTGACAGGCCAGAACAAGGTCCTTTAAACAGGGCCCAGAGCAGAAGCTAATCTTGTCTGGGTGTAAGGGTAGCCTGTTATATATAAACATGTAACTATATACATATAGGTCAGTTGGACCAACGGTCATCTGTCCAGTCAAATTTAGAGAATATTTTGAGCCAATGTGAACCCATACTTTAAATCATAGCATAAATGTTGGTGGATGAACAAATTAACATTAGCTCTAAACAATATAAATGTAAAAATACTTCTGAAAATGATGATCGGAATAACTAAACCAATGAACCTAACCACAACACAAACTTTGGATAAAAATTTGTTTGTAGAGTTTAACTCAAATAGAGCAAAAATGCACAATGGCTTTTATATTTTTTAATTTAGGTACTTCCCATCTTAATAAACATAACTATCATATTCTACCTAGGGGCTTAAATTTATTCAGGTTATATATACATCAAGCTAACTGACCAATTATTATAAATAATTGGTCAAATAATTACCAATGGGTCAATAATTTACTAATTATTGTAAATAATTGGTCACTCCTATAAAATTCTGAGTAGTTTAGTACAAGGAATGGGCTTGAGTTCAAATCTTGGCTTTATTTACCAGCTAGGTGATTGTTAAGCAACTCATTCAACCTCTTTCATCTGTAATACAAATGAGAAATATACTAATAATACCACTTCTTTTGAGTACTAAGTACCCAAAAAGTACTTTGAACGCTTTTAATTATCAAAGGATTTAATCAGCAAAGTAAACTTAGTTGATACTACTACTAACGTCAATAAGGGACTGGAAAAACACCCCCATGGCTGTCTGGTGCTCTGCCAAGTGGCCTCTCATTAGCTGTCTGCTGGGCGAACTCAGAAGTTGCTACTGGCACAGGCCAGAGTCTATGCTTCCTAGGATACCTGAAAACCACATAATCAAGACTCGACTCATGCCTGTAATCCTAGTACTTTGGGAGGCCAAGGCAGGAGGATCGCTTGAGCTCAGGAGTTTGAGACCAGCCTGAGCAAGACCCTGCCTCTACTAAAAACAGAAAAATTAGCCCTGCATTGTGGCACGTGCCTATAGTCCCAGCTATATGAGAGGCTGAGGCAGGAGGATTGCTTGAGCCCAGGAGATTGAGGCTGCAGAGAGCTATGATGATACCACTGCATTCTACCTGGAGCAGAGTAGAGCAAGACTCTATGTCAAGAAAAGAAAAAGGGTCACTGGTTTGAGGCTTCCAACCATGATCCTGCCAGCCCTTGGTTTCTGTGGGGATGTCTCAGCAGTCAGGAGGAAGAGGAGAACCCGATGCCTGAATCTGGAACTATGTGACAGACACCTTTGTGATCTCTAGTTCGGCTCTAAGCAAGTTCGCATTAACCAGACATTGGGACAAGCGAGGGGTGTGAACAAACAGTGTGTGTGTCCCCTCCGTAGTGCTCCTGAACTGGCTTGGGATGGAAAACCAGACACTGGAATCAGGCTGACCTGGTGGAAGGCGGAGATACATCTCTGACTACTACGTTAGTTTTGATTTTGGAAAAGTGTCAAAGTTGGAGACGTCCAGGGGCTGGCCAAGGTCTATGCTCATCCCCTTGAGATGAAATATTTTATGTCATGTCGATGTAGATTTCGGATTCGATAAACTTTTCTCATTTCCTTCCCCTGTCCCCTAACATCATTCAGTTTCTAGTTCTATTGAGGAAAAACAACCTTGCTTTGCCCTCATATTTCCTCAAGTAACTTTCAATATCTGATCTAAAAATATGTCACTATTGAAACTTCAATGAAGTGAGTCAAGTCTCACCAATTCATTGCAACTGCTGACAGAGGAGGAGAAATTAGTGAAGAGGCTGAATTATTCAAAATATTTTAAGAAAAGCAGCTTTATTATTTTCAAGTACATACAGCAACACAAGTATGACTAAAAGTACTCTTCAATGATTTTTCCAAGTAGATACTTAATGAATACATAGAAATGATCTGAAATTTTCTTGGATAGGATGTTTTATACTCAGATAGATAATTCTAAGTGCCTGTAAATAGTATACTGCTGCATGTTTTAAAATGATTTTTCTTTTTTTTTAAAAAATAAAGCATACTAAGCTTATTTTTAAATGATTTTGAGAAAGCAATCATTCATGTAGTAATTTACTTACCTTTTTTCTCATAGTTAGTAAAAGGTCATCTAACTCACTCCTTCTTCAATGATTCCAAATTATGAATAAATGTAGGGTTAAATATAAGTTTTAATATATTTGTAAGCAATTATTTCTAATTATTTCTCCTTGTCTAATCATCTAGGCATTATTATGATGTCTTTCGAAAAACCTTCCTATCATATGCTAAATCAAAGTAGTAACAAATATGTACTTACACGGTATATATGAAGCCATGGTTATAAGAAGAAAATAATAGTAGTCAAAAGAGACATTGTACTTGTTAGGAAGTCTTATTGAAAACATTCCTGTTTTCTTCACATATGGCAAGGCAGCATATATTGTAAGAAGCTCCCCAGCAACTCCAACAGGATATAAGATGATAAAAAAATTATATCTGGAGAAAGAAAAACGTCAGAGAATTATTTTTCTAGAATAATTATTGGCCTTTTACATTACAGTTCTTTTGCTACAATCGTATTGAAACTTAAAAAGTCTCCTCTCTTTACATATTTACAATGACTTCGCATAAAAAGGTTAATTTTTCTGCTTCAATCATTTGCTTATCAACCTTTTTGCTAATAACATTTTCCATTTTAAATGGCAAGACCTTCTTAATAAGAAGTCAACTGACTTTGCAGTACTGAGATGCTTTTATACATAAAAGAAAGTAGGTGAAGTTCGTAAAAAATTATTGTAAATGTGCTTCTTTGGTGCACAGGATCATAACTGCTTCTCTTTCATGCCTCTAGTCATTTATTGATCAAAGGTTGTTCTTAAAAAGACCAGCTATGATCCTAATTTAATATCTAAACTCTGAAATTACCAAAGTAGTTATTTTTAAGAGGCTTTTGGCAAACTCTCTGTGGTTACTAATTGAAAGTAATTACTATGCAAAAAACTAATAACACTACCTAAAGCATCAGTAATTACAATGAGTATATTGTCTAAAACTGCTCTCATAACAAACAAATTAAGACAAGTTACTTCCAGACTTCCCACATTAAAGGAATAGTTAGCTTGCTTACAATAGAGCTGAGAAAGTTCTATTCAAAAGCCAAAATAACTATAAGCACATTTGGATTGTGGCAAGGTCTCTAACACACGGTAGGCCAGGCATCGTTTATGCCTAGTGAGGGAAACACCCTGTGTTCCACTGGTTTCCAATAGGAAGAGCCTAAAGGATCCAAGACAAGGACATTTCTCCATTAAACAAAAACATTTTTCTCCAATTTACTCACTATGTAACAGTTACTACAGAAAAGGTGAAGATGTTGATGGAAAAAAAATCAAATTAATCTGTACTTTATTTAGTCATTTTGTTGGCATTAAGAAATGTCTGCAAAGGAAAATCAAATTTCTCAGTATCGAAGAAGCTTGGAGACAATTTAAAAATCACTTTCTTCCTGCATGATAAGGATATGGGGGGTGGAGTGAAATGATTTGCCAAAATACATGAACTGTTAAGAATGATTCCCTTACTGTACTTGTTCATCCCTTCTATGCCTTGTATATATTTTTTTGCTTTCTTATCAGTCTTGTGTAGTTCTTTGTGTTATCATTTAAATCAATCTTTTCCTGTACCTCAATTTTTAAAATCACATAACTCATTTTAAAAATTATGAAGGGACATTTTATATCCCCTTCTCAAATAAAATATCCAAACTGATTAAGCTTTTTTTTTATTTTATTTTATGTGACTCTCAAAAGATTTTTTGGTAGCATTGAACTTTAACAGGAAAAAAAAGCCCATCATTCCTAGAATAAACTAGTGTAAAGTCTTAAAGACTGAAAATTTCTAATGAAATGGGAACAAATTACAAAATTTATTTGACTTGACTTGTACTTTAAAGAGATTGCATGTCACTAACTTAACTCTCTAAGTTCTGAAGGAAGTATAGGAGATTAATTTATGGTTTTTATTTTTATATTTTTAGAGACAGGCTCTTGCTCTGCGTCCCAGGATGATCACAGCTCACTGCAGCCTCGAACCTCTGGCCTCAAGTGATCCACCTCAGCTGGGATCACAGGCAGGCCGCCATGCTCCTAGTCACTATGGGAGATTTAACCATTTTTAGACCACATTCATAATGCTTCCTTGAAGATTCCAATTGTCACCTAAAATTTTTTTGAAAGAAATGCATTTTTGAAATCAAAGTGAAAATCAATTCGAAAACACAACTCAGTACACAATTATCTCCTCTGCGAAGAACACTTTTAACACATAAATAGAATCAAAGTATATTCAAACCATGAAATTGTTTGTAAATAAAAAGCCATTTCTAAAGTGAAGTTTTATTTGAGAACAATAGCTTCAACATTTGAACACAGATACTAATATTATGTTAGGTTATTTAATGCAGTTGGAGAATATACTATATTTAGATGGTTGGGATTTTTAAGATCCTTTTGACACGAAACATAATTTCATGATCATGATTAAATGGCAGGATGCTAACACGTGCATTTTGTAATTGAAAGATTCTATGACATCAAAGCAACTGACAATTGTTTTCTAAACAGCAAATTTAAACATGAAATGGCAGAGTTTCGAACTTTTCCAGAAAGCAAAGACATGCAAATGCATTCTGAAAGGCAGACGGACAAAGCAATAGCAATTAATATGCCTGATCTAAGGAAAATGTGCAATGTGCATTCCATTATCTTCTTCAAACAAATTTTGTAAACACAGCACATGAAAAGAGGCATGAATTACTATTTTGAAAGATGCCAAAGATCCAGAAGACTGTCATGCAAAATGGTACTGATATGCATTCTAGGATTAGCGTCCGGTGACACTCAAAATTGCCAACCTTTTAAAAGGCCCAATCACTAATAGTGAATATATTTTCACGTACGATAATAAAACCAATCAAACACACGTAAATGGTAGTGTGACCTCCTTATGACAGACAATATATTTAAGCTCAAATTATAATTTTAAAGTATTTTATGATATGCAAAATGGTAAGCCACAGATGTCTAAAAAAGGGCTAGAAAATGTAAAAGAAAAAAGTCTAAAAGAATGCATACCACAATTCACAGTAATTATCCTCATTTTAGAGGGCATACGAGGAGTTTAAAAGTTTTTCTTTCTTTTTGGTTTGTTTATATATTCTAAATCATTATATTTAAACATGTATAAAACATGAGTTATTAAAAAAGGAGTAATTTAAGAAAAAGTGTTAGATTTTTAATATATGAGAATCAAAAACAAATCTGAAACTAGATAAGGATTACCCTCAAATAAAATTAGAATGTATTAACATAAATATCAGAGTTTTTGAAAATAACAGAATTATAGATATGATATTATTAATAATATTATGTATAATATTAGAAGACTGGAAAATGATATACTGGCTTATGATTTATTCTCCAAATAGCAGTTCTGCTTTTATAAAAATTTTGTAAAATGTCAATTACTCAAAGAATTTAAACTTAAAAAAAAAAAAACCAGACATCCTTGGCTTTCAAAACTGTTTCTTTAAGATAGATATATTTGGAGCCCTTGAAATATAAATTTTGTCCACATTTCAAATGCTAAAATTTCAAGGAAGTGTGACTTTTTAAAATGCCTGTCTCTGCTACTTAAAGCAAAAAATTGAAAAATAAAAAATAAGGCATTGTAGATATAAGACAAATGGTGGATACTAGATTGAATATTAAAATAATTTAACCCTTTGCACTTGGATGTCAAGTGTGACTCGACACGGTTAGCATCAGTAGCAGCTCACATCATGAAAAAATATAGAGATTAAAATTACTCTTTGAATGTATCAATAATTTGAAATATAAAAAAATCCAAATAAATAAGTTTGTATGCAAAGAAACTCCAGTTTTTGTAAAATCTGGGGTATTTAAAACATTAAATCCCGAGTAGAATAAAGGAATCGAGAAAAAAAAAGCAAGCGAGTACAAAGGGTTAAATCGATTGGACAAAATATTATATTTTGGGCACCAGTTAGTTAATAGAATTCCCAAAATGGATAGATGTGTGTGCTTTCAAAGAAAAATGAATGACCAAGTTTGAGGTTATTTAAGGATACTACTCTAATTTGATTTGCACTGATTTTTCTCCACATTTATATTAACATGATTGATCTCTGATCATTAAATTAAGCTTTTAGAATCCAAGTTCTAACGCTGATAATAGAACAGCAGCATTGTGGCATCCGCCAGGCTGAAAACACAAATTGCAATTCTCTGGTGTTAGCTGAGCACACAGAATAAGCATGCACAGGACCGTGAGAAACTAAACTGTGAGACATCGCCACCTGGCCCATTTAATGAAGTACGGCAAGTGGTCAAGGAGACTGAATGTGTAGAAGGAATAGCGAGTGATCTCTGTCACAGTCCACGCCACCAGAAAAAGCACCACACTCTCCTCATTCTGGATCTGCAGAATTATAGAGAAATCCACAGTGTCGTTCAACTGCACACTTATTTTTCAAATGAAGACACTTTCATTACGTACTGGCTTTTATTCTAATGGCATGTTAGGGTTAGACAAATGCAATACAGAAAACTCAGTACGGTCACCATTATACCATTAATTATAAACAGGGAACTGAAATATGTCCTATTCAAAGGAGAGGTCAAATGTATACTGATTTTTCTTTCTCAACCTTTACTCTAAGTGAAGTTGCCAAGAACTCTACCATCCAAGGACATTACCCCCTAGAAACTGGAATGGGAACAATCTGACCCTCCTGCTTTCTGTCAATCATTGCATCTCCCTTGTTCTACCGCAGGACCAACTCTTGAACCTACCCACTCATCTTTGGCCATATTACCACTGTTTTAATTCAGGGCCTTATCATCTCTCCATCTTTGGACGTAGCGTGTCTTTATTCTCTTCATGGATGGATGTTTTCTCTTAAAAAGAAAATAAGACAACAAAAAACAAACTGGAATCAGCTCAGTCCTCATGATTTAAAAGTTTCAAGGACAAACTCTAATAACACCTGAGCCCTGATAGTCAAGGTTCTTTACAATTCAAGCTCAGAAATCTTCCATCTGCCAATCACCCAAACCCTCCTAGCTACTTCTCTCTTCCAGTGACGTAAACTTTGTTATTCTAGAATATGGCTCTGAACTTTTGCGTCTTTACACATGCTATTCCCTCTAATTGCTCCCCATAGAAAACCTTCCTCGTCTTTTCAGTATCCAGCTAAAACATCATGCTCCCTGGAAAACTCTTTTCCAAATATCTCCTCTCACCCTGAGAAGTTCTTCACTCAACTTCCTTGTTCTCATAGTACTTTATTCATATTCATATTACAGCAGTGGCAATTTGTATCAAAATTTGTCTGGCTAAGTCTTGCCCATGTCAGTTTCAACTTCTATATCCTCCTCTTCGTTGGAAGCCTTCTTTCCACCCTAGGTCAGGACTAAGTCCCCCCTGGTATACCACAATGCATTTGGAGCTCTTATTTCAAAGATTATATAATTAAATAAGTATTTGTATAATTACTTGTTTAGCTTCTCTCCCAATTATAGGTCCATAAGGTGAGACCATGTTTTATATATTTAACACTCATATTCCAGCACAATGGCGGGCACAGAAAAGGTGCACAATTAGCATCTGTTCATGATCCAACATTCGTACGACTGCCTCTCTCTTCCCAACAGCCAGTACACTTGACCGCTGGGACTGCTTATTCATTTTTATAAATCCAGAGATTAGCACACCACACGGTATATAGAATGCATTCAATAAATGTTGATTGGATTAATTAGGGAGTGGTAAATAGGTGCCAATGGGAAACTATAGGGAGTCTCAAAAGTCTCCATACAGAGGGAAAATTTTATAATGAATATTTGGTAAATGAAGTACATTTAGTACAATTTTCCATTTTTCCCTATGTATGGTGACTTTGGGACACCCTGTATTGTTGTAGAAAAATCAAGAGTCAAATTAAAGGCAGAGATCAATGAGGATAAAAGGAGCAGACGGTTCTTCTTTTTCTTTGGAACTTACCACTCTCTAGTGTTCCTTTACTTCTCCTCTCTAGTTAATGTTATCTTTCTTTTCCTCATTCTTCAGATCTTTGTCATCCTAGTCAGCTATTCTATTTTGTTCACTACCTGGGACAGTCTCTCTTTCAGTTAATGTCCTCCTGGGTTTTTTTTTTATTTTGTTTTGTTTGTTTGTTTCTGAGACAGTCTCACTCTGTTGCCCTGAGTAGAGTGCCCTGGCATCAGCCCTGCTCACTATAACCTCAAACTCCTGGGCTCAAGTCATCCTCTAGCCTCAGCCTCCTGAGTAGCCGGACTACAGGCATGCCACGATACCCAATGATCAATGTCCGATGCTGGCTAATTTTTCTATTTTAGTAGAGACAGGGTCTCGCTCTTGGCAGGCTGGTCTTGAACTCATGACCTCAAGTGATCCTCCTGCCTCGGCCTCCCAGAGTTGCTAGGATTACAGGCGTGAGCCACCACACCAGCCTGTCCTCCTGTTTTTTAAATTAGTGGGCAACCTCAATGAATAAATTTGGCTGTGTGACATGTGCTCTTTGCTATCTGTAGGCAGTCACTGGGTAGCAACAAATGGATGAAGCAAGTGGGAGTGAATGATACTAGTTAAAAGGGCTAAGTGTAGACTAGTCATAGGCAGAAAAGTCAGCGATCTGTCCCCGCGTGGACAGGGAAGGCCAGTGAGGCTAAGAGAGCAGAGAAGGAGGTCAGGTGTCAGTCCCCAAGCATAGGGGAGAAAGAAAGGAGGCCAGAAATCTGTCCTCAAATAGACAGAAAACCCTGTAGGCTGCTGAGAAGGTTAGAAGGGTTGAGCTAGGAAATGTCTGTCATGGGTTTAAAAGGCCCAGAATCTTGACATAGTCAACATGGTGTTTGTTTTGTCCAAAAGGTTTAAGCCATTAATTATATTCAATAATTAGGTCTCTTGTCATGCTGCAGTAAATAATATGTTTATTTTTCCTTAAGTTCCTTAACACTTTTTTGAAAATTATATTTTCATTGAAAAATTAAAATTATCTATATTTATGGTACATGACATGATGTTCTAAAATATGTATACACTGTGGAATGCCTAAATCAAGCTAATTCGCCTACGTGTTTCTACATACACTTATTTACTCGGGGTAAGAACACTTAAAATCTACTGATAGCAATTTTCAAGTACACAATACATTGTTATTAAGTGTAGTCATCGTGTTGTACAAGAGAAGGCTTGAACTTACTCCTCCTGTCTAATTGAAGTTTTGTATCCTTTTACTCCCTTTTAATTTTTAATTTAGTCTTTTCCAGTTATTCAGGTATATGGAACTACATTTATTTTTATGTCTGTTACTACAGTACTCAATGCTAAATGAGGAAAAATAAACTGTTTACACTGATAACATCAATTACATAATCAAAGAGAATAACTTTGATGGAAAAGAAGCTTCTATAGAAAAGAAAATTTTCTGTTAGTTATTTGACAGAATATGGATATTAATTAAAAACTGGAAAGCATCCAAGGAGAATATATTATGGCTATAAAATACCAATACTTGGTTTTGCTTGTGTTCCAAAGTCATTCTACGAAAGTACTAAGTCAATATCCAATACTTAAATTCAAACCCAACTCCTTTTTACCCAAAGGTTCTGTTTTCTGAAATATATAAATATTAATATTTTAGATTCCGATTAATGAAAAGCTTTCCTGCAGGCTCAAGAAGACAATGTGTTTACGTCACTTACTGGTTTTATACTGTGAGTAATGAGCCACACCATGAAGATTCTGGAACTCACTTGGACCCCGGTCACAAGCACAGAAGTCGGTACAATTCCTTAAAGAGAAAAACAAGTCAGCTATTGTCCTAAAGGCAATTTATAATGAAAATACAAAATGAAAGCAAAAACTCACCAATTAAACAGTGGCCTATCTGTAAGCAAATAAAAAAGGATCACACGTCAGTAATATAAAACATCGATCCCTGTTAACATTGGTATTAAACAAACCCATGGGTGGTATGGCATCAGCAAAACAAGATTGAGTTTGCTCAACAAAAAAGAAAGGTTCCAATAAATATTACAACAACAAAAAAGCAGCATGATGCAACACTTACCTCAAGCAAGGCAAATGTCTGGAAAAATTTCAGTGTCTTCTGAATACTTTTATATAAACCTCTGTGTGTTCCTTTCTCCATATAAAAACGTGCCATGGCAATAGCTAGAACCAACCACCTAGAGGAAATAAAAGCATTTTAGAAAGTTCTGTCCAAATTAATACCACTGACCTACAGTCACAGAAGCATTATTTGCAATAGCTAAACAGTGGAAGCATCCCACGTGTTCATCAATGACTGAATGGATAAACAAAAGGAAATATATACACACAATGCAGTATTCAGTTTTAAAAAGGAAAGAAATTCTGACGCATGCTACAACACGGAAGAACCCTGAAGACATTAAGCTAAGTAAAATAAGCCAGGCACAAAAGGGCAAATATTATGTGATTCTATTTACTCAGGGTCTGCAGAATTATCAAACTCATCAAGACAGAAAATAGAATGGTGGTCCCTAGGGGATGGGGGGCAAGGGGGCAATGGGAAGTTCATGTTCGATGGGTGTAGAGTTTTGGTCTTTCAAGATAAAATGTTATGGGGATGAAAGGAGGTGACGGTTGCCCAAACAACGTGAATCTGCTTAATGCTACTGAACTGCACACTTCAAAATGTTTGTTAAAGAGGGTAAATGTTATGTTCATTTTACAATTTAAAAACATGGCTAAACTAACCTTCCTGAAAAGAAATGCTATTTATATAATAAAATGTATGTTCTATTATGTTTAGTTCATAGTTCTATTTTTTAAAAAAATGACAAATGGTATTTTCATGTTGACTCTATAAGCGGAGGAAGAGAACATAGACGAGACCAACTACATGCAAAGCGATGTCCATTATAGTTCTGGTTTCAGCAAATAAATTGACAGACCAAAGAAAACAGCTTTATGTACCAAAAATGAGATTATCATAAAGCATTTAATAATTACATAAAGGTATCTTGAGGGAAAAAGCTATCAAAAGTTGTGTGTGTATGTGTATAAATACATATTTAATGCAAATATATAGTACATAACAATACATCGGTATAAGTAGAAATCTCTTATAAGAATCGTCAATTAATATCTAAGTAATTTTCATTAAATAAAAACAACTGTTACACCTCAGCAGGGATACACAAAGATCAGACATGGGCCTGCTTTCAAAGAGGTTGTTTCTAAAAAAGAAAAAAATACACATACCCCGCCTTGCAACTTACATTTGTGTACTGAATATAGATTCTGTTCTGTGAATTAATGGTACTTAAGATATAAGATATACTTATGGAAACCAGCTTTCTCATCTTCCTAGAATCACTGGCGACTCTTTTTTTCCAGTTTCCCTTGCAACTACAAAAGCATGTTTAAGTTAAAGAAAGTTGCCTCATCTGTAGCTTTTTAAAAGCTTTAATAGTATACCCAGGAAAATGAGTAGCTACCCCAGTCATTGAGATTAGTGGTCTCCAAAGTGTCTACTTAAATGGATTTATAAAATGTAAAATTATTATACAGTTTTAAGTTTTTAACTAAATAACATACATACAGTGGACAAATGCCTTAAAAAGATTCCTGCAAAGATACTACTAATCGAATATGAGGAAAATGCGTGCTCAAGAGAACGCTAAGAAAATGGCAGAATGACAGTTCTGCTCCTCAGCACATCATGAGATAAAAGTAATGACTTTATCAGATAGGATAGGAAGTCAGGCAAATGTCTGAAACTGTCACAAAGACTTTGGAAATGCAGATATATTAATGACAACGGTGATAATAATATGTTCAAGGTGTTTTCTATGTTCTAGACTCTGTTCTAAATGCATTACAGGCTGGGCGTGGTGGCTCACACCTGTAATTCCAGCACTTTGGGAGGCTGAGGCATGGGGAACACTTGAGGTTAGGAGTTCCAGACCAGCTTGGGGAACATAGCTAAACTTGATCACTAAAAATAAAAAAAAAAATAGAAAAATTAGCCAGGCATGGTGGTGCACACTTCTAGTACTAGCTACTCAGGAGGAAAAAGATGGGAGGATTGCTTGAGCCCAGGGGCCTTAGACCAGCTTGGGCAACATAGCAAGACCTTATCTTTACAAAAAATAAAAAAATTAGCCACACATGGTAGTGCACGCCTATAGTCCCAGCTACTCAGGAGGCTGAGGCAGGAGGATTGCTTGAGCCCAGGAGTTGGGGGCTGCGGTGAGCTATGATCACATGCCATTGTACTGCAGCCTGCATGACCCTGTCTCTAAATAAATAAATGCATTACATATCAACCTCAAACCCTCATGATAACCCTATCAGGTAAGGGTCTACTGTTATCCTGTTTCACTGGTGAGGAAACAGGCAGAGAGGGTCACATGGTCAGCCTGCTGGGACCTAAACCCACCACTGAGCTCAGAGCCTATGCTGTTGGACCCCTGTGCTATACTGATCTGGCTCTAAGTACATATCGTGCCCTGAGATATTAGCTAATTATAGCAATTCATACGTACATTACAAATACATTTGTAAGATTATATGGAAAGTCTATTACTCTTATAGATGAGACAGCCGTGATCTGGAGACATTAGGTTAACTCTAAGTCTCAGAGTTAAGTTCATTACTGTGAGTCTGAAATAGAATCCCTGAGGCCCCTGAATTCCTAGTCCTGCCCTCTTTCCACCGTATCAGAGTTTTACTGTGGGTATAACACACGCACTCATCTCATGCAAAAGCCGACACTGAATTCAGTGCTGGGCTGATCCTACAGTGCTAATCTGGATAATGTTTTAGGTACCCTCCCTTTAGGCTTAAAGTGTTACGATTTCATTATCCTCAATCCCTAATCCCCATACTTAAAGAAGCAGAAAGCTTAATAAGATGTTTCCATTCACATTTTCCATATACTTGTCTTTTCTGGGCACAATCAAATCGGGTATCTACAAAAGATAAGTTTTTAGAGGCACCTATTAACCAAGCAAGGAATGTATCAAAGGATTCATTTAGATGGCAAGTTTTCTACTTTTAAAAATAGCATTGTATCTGGGGGATGGTCATGCTGGAAACTCAGACTTGTGGGGGAAGGGGGAACAGGGCATTTATTGAAACCTTAAAATCTGTACCCCCATAATATGCCGAAATAATAATAATAAAAAAAAATCCATGCATTGTAACATTATAACAAATTCTGCTATTGTTCCATAGATGGCAGTATTGCACCAGCTAGTATATTATCATGCTACTACCACTCACTAAACTGTAGGAAATAAAAGAAATGAACAGAGTCACAAGTTTGAAAGGACCCTCAAACCATCTATTCTAACCTCTTATCTGTTTTTCCATCAGTAAGGCCAAGAGCTAATCTAAACCAATCAGAGTTTACGTACTAAACCCACCATCACAAGGAGTGACAATCAAAATTTCTCTAAGGGTTCTACATTGAACTAACTTTGGACTTCCTTCATCCATTAATTTAGCAATTGTCATAAAACAAACAAAAATATTCCAAAAGCAATTGGATTAGAAATCCTTTTCTAGAATATTCTTTTGTTTTTTTAAATATGCCAAACAAATTGATTATATGAACCCAAACAAATACACTCAGTCCTTGATTAAATACTTTCTCAGGGAAAAACAAAGAACAAAAAAAAAACTTGTATCATATATGTAGATTTCTTGCTTGCTTGCTTAACTCATTTATTCATTCATTTTCAGGATCAACATTTAATACTAAGCCAGGTGCTGAGCTAGGCACTGGGGAATTTGAAATAGATAAGACATAGTTTTTGCCATGGAGAACTCTCAATTTAGTAAGTGGAAACAACAGAACAGTGCAATGTAAGAGTTACATGCCATAACTTACTGAACACAGGGGCTACATTCTCATGCCCCTATGGCTACAATGACCCTGAAAAACCTTATCAAAAGATATTTTTCCTGAAATATCTTAGAGACCACCTGTTCCTTGAAAAACTTGGTTAACTCCACTATACATTTCCTTTTTTAAAAAAATGTCAACACTGCTTTTTAAGTTTTTATTATAAGCAATTAAGAACATATACAAAGGTATAGAGAAAGGTATAATGAACCTCACCTGCTCACTCACTACGTAGCTTATTAATACCTTATGAACAATCTTGTTTCACCTAAACCTTTATTCCCTCTCCTCTCATTATTTTGAATCAAATCCCAGACATTCTATAAAATGATTCATAAATGTTTCATTATGTATCTATAAAAGGATTACTTTGAATTAACATAATTATAATACAACTATGCCATGTAATAAAATATAACAACTTCCTAATATCACAACACATAGAGCCAGGATACAAATTTCCCAAATTGTCTCGTAATTTTTTTAAAGCATGATTGAATTAAGATTCACATGCTGTAATTAGTTGTTTTGTCTTTTATGACTCTTTGAATCTACAGTTTCCCCTCTATCCTTCCTTCCCTTTCTGCCTTTTGCAATTTGTCTGTTGAAGACACTGAGTGGTGTATCCTGCAGCAACCCTCAGTATGGATTTTGTTAATTCGATGCCCACGTGTCATTTTTACCACATTCTGTTCTTTGTGTCTCCTGTAAATTGGTAGTTAATTCTAGGGGCGTGATCGGATTCTTGTCTGATTTTCATAGGTTGTGGTGGATACTTCTACAAAGAGCATGTAATTTCTGGTTGTCCCTCTCTTTTATGATACTAACAGTTACTAACCATCATTGCCTAGATCCCTTATTTCAAAACTATTGAAAAATAATGACATTCTAATTTGTCATTTCTCCTTTATGCCTCTTTTAACCACTTGGAGGCTTGTAAGAAAGATGGTCTTTGACTTTCACATATTGTTCATTGACACCTCTAAATTGCCTTTTCTCGACTAAATTTATACTTTTGTTTAGCGGCCAATATATGAGTGTCTCAACTGATTGCACCTAGGCACTCACACCAATAAAGAATCAAGCTGAAAGGTTCATAAAAGAAAAAAGCCTGGGAAGTTGAACTTCATTAGAATTAGGACTATCTGCTCTTTGAGGAACACTGTGAAGACAATGAAAAGCCAAGCCACAACTGGGACAAAATGTTTGCAAATCACATATCGGGTAAAAGACTTATATCCAGACTGTATAAAGAACTCTCAAAACTCAGTAATGGGGAGCCATCCTATTAAAGAAAACAAAATGGGCAAAAGATTTGAACAGATGTTATACCCAAGAAGCTATACAACTGGCAAGTAAGCACAGGAAAAGATACTCAATCTCATTAGTCACTAGGGAAATGAAAATCAAAATCATAACGAAATAATACAATATACTTATTGGGATGTCTAAAATTACAATGACTAGTTTTACCAAGTGTTGGCAAGGATGTACAGCAACTGGAAGTCTCATTCATTTGCCAGTGGGAAGGTAAAATGGTATGACTAATTTGGAAAACAGTTAGGCAGTTCCTTAAGAAATTAACACATGACTGCCATCTATCTACCCAGTCCTACTACTTGTAGATATTTATCCAAGAAAAGCAATAGCATATGTCCATGAATGTTCATTGCTTTATTCGTAATAGTCCCAAACTGAAAAGAATCCAAACATCATCAACAGATAAATGGGTAAACAACTTGTGGTAAATCCATACAATGGATTTGTCCTCATCGATAAAATACATCCTACCCAGCAATAAAAGATATGGTTCTTACTTAACATTTTGGGCAATGTATCTTGGGTTTTTTTGCTCTATTAAGTTCTATTAAGTATACTGTAAAAATATCTTAAATAGTTTCTCTTTCTGCAAGAAGTACAATTTTAAATTAATCACTAGGGATAGGAATTAACACTTTGAAAAGTCTATTATGCATCTGGCACCCTGCTAAGAAATTCATACCCATTATCCCTTTATTTCTTGTAATGATCTAGCAAAGAAGTTGTCTTGTTCCAATTTTACTAATGAGAAGACTAAGGGTCAGAAAGGTTAAGTGACTTGTCTGAGGTCACCCAGCTACAAAGAAGTGAGACACAACCCTTAACCAATATGTTCCTGTTCTGTTCACAAATTAAAATCCAAACATGTCAGCAAATCATCTAAGGCCCTATGAAATGGCTTGAGCGACCTGTCCACCTTTATTTCCCATTTCATTTTCCTCTTGTTGGGCCTACTTGTTGTCTCAACAGATGTCTAGCAACTTCACATCTCTGTACCTTAAATCATCCTGTTCCCTAGGTGGGGCGTGGTGCCTCATGCCTGTAATCCTAGCACTCTGGGAGGCCGAGGTGGGCGGATTGCTCCAGGTCAGGAGTTCGAAACCAGCCTGAGCAAGAGCGAGACCCCATCTCTACTATAAATAGAAAGAAATTAATTGGCCAACTAATATATATACAAAAAATTAGCCAGGCATGGTGGCGCATGCCTGTAGTTCCAGTTACTTGGGAGGCTGAGGCAGCAGGATTGCTTGAGCCCAGGAGATTGAGGTTGCTGTGAGCTAGGCTGACCCCACGGCACTCGCCTGGGCAACAAAGCGAGACTTTGTCTCAAAAAAAAACAAAAAAAATTAAATCATCCTGTTTCCTTATCAATGCCTATTAAGTCCTGCTCATCCTTCAAAGCTCAGTTTAAATGCTATGATCTCCCAAACAAGGGTTTCTCTGATTCTCCCAACCTGTCTTTCCTCTGACACCCCTGCTGAGCACTTATCTCATTCTTTTATTGCAATTGTTATTTATGTCTTACATATATACAAAAACAGGGCCTCAAATATTTACCTTATATCACTCACTTGACATAGGACAATGCATTCATACGGACTCAAAAGTATTTGTTGAAAATCACACACAAAGAGTGAAAGAGAGAGAAAGAGAAAAAGAGAGAGGAATGCTCAGTTCCTTATCATGAGCAAGTGCCACAACAATCCTTACCTCCTTTAAAGGTGTAATTCTACTCATAGGGATTTATCCTAAGCCACTAATTCAACAGAAATAAATGAAAACAAACAGTCATTAGGGACATGATTTAATTCATGATTGCCCATTAGTTCTATACACTCTTATATAATTGTGAAAGAGTGTAATTGTGAAAACTATATAAAGATACATGATAGAATTTTAAGTAAAAATAGAATATATAATACAGCAGATAGAATATTAAATAAAAATAGAATATATAATAGAGCAGATATTATAACAACAGTGCTTTAAAATGTGTATTCATTCATTCATTGAATAAGTATTTATTGAGTGCTCCAAGGAGTTTATACTCTAAGGGGGACAACAGACAATAAGCAATGATGAATTCATAAAATACACTGTACAATTGCATGGCAGTTAGCAGGATGGAGAAAAATAAAGCAGGCAAGGTAGACAAGGAGTGTTAGGATGTAGGTCACTATTTGAATGAAACTGCCCAGGTAAAGCCTCCCTGAGAATGGAGTTTCCAGTAAAAACTTGAAAGAGGTTAGATATACCCATATGAAAGATAATAAGAAAAAATAAAAGGTTATGCTAGTCTTATAGATTTAGACAGGTTCTTTTATTTCTTAAATACTATTTGATTGTTTTGGAATTTTTTTTTCCGAGATGGGGTCTTGCTATATATATTGCCCAAGCTGGTCTTGAACTCCTGCGCTCAAGCAATCCTCGTGTCTCAGCCTCCCGAGTAGCTGGGAACACAGGTGCAAGACACCACACCCAGATTGTTTCGAAATTACAAAAAATTAACACACATGCCAAAGTTCTGCTAAAAAAAGAAATAAACGAAGCATGTTAAATGAACCAAAAGAACCTCTGCTATTCACACTGTTAAATGTATACGTTTTTGTCCCGATTTCAACACTACAACTTCTCCAACCTTATTCATCACTATTTCCAGCACCATTCTCCAATTCATTTAAGAGAATACACCAGGCTTGCACCTCATGCCTATCTATTTCTAGAATTTATCTCACTTGAAATTCATACCCTTTATGTGCACAAATCCTATTCCTTCTTCAACTCTCAACGCCTCTCTCTCGAAAGGCTCCAAAGAGTTAGTGACACGTATAATTCCATTTCAGAAATCACCACTGCCTTATGAAAACAACAAGGGGCCTTCTCCATGCAGGCAGAGAAAGACAAGTTTGGAATAAGCCCTGCTTTGCCGGGAAGTGTAGGAAGAACAGGAATGAAGTGCTAGAACACAACGGAGAAAGCATTTAATTCTGCTCCAGGCGAAGCAGAAGACCTAGAAACTTTCAAAGAGGTTGATTTGGTTAGAAATTACAGAAAGAACAAAGAGAACGTTACACAAGGAGTGAACGACCTGAGCAAAGATGGAGAGTGCTGGGAAAATGCACGGTGCTTTGAGGCAGCAGTGAGTCACAGGCGAGTTCGTGGAAAGGGGAACCCGAGAGGCAAACGGCCTTGGAAGACAGACGGTCCAAATCCCTTAGATTAATTAGGGTGGAGGTGACAGGGACTCGCTGAGGGCTTTAAAATGGAGTTACGCACTGATTTTCATTTTTTGAAATGTAACTTGGCCTCCAAAGTGGACAGCAAACTGGAAAGGGACAGCCACCCTGTTCACACATGGCAGGTGTTTCAAGAAAGGCTTGCTAACTGCCTGAGGCCATCAGAGAGGACAGAGAATTCCTTCAGCCCCTATAGCAGCACGTGGGGGGTCCCGAACCATTCTGTTGTTTCGAATATATTCGTTTTCTCTCCTTTCAAGATTATGATTTAGGAAAGAAAAACGACGACACAGCATCCGAGTCGGATAATCTAGGTGGAAACCCACTTCTGACACTCGCTGGCTGTGATCTCAGGCAAGCGATTGAGCCTCTTTGTGCCTCAGTTTCCCAGTCTGTAATATATCACGTACCACTCACAGGATTGTAGAGGACTAAAAATGAGATAATACATTTAAAATAACCAGCCCAGTCTCTGGCACATAGTAGATCCTCAATAACTATATTTTTATTAACTGTATTTGGTATTCTGTATCACGCCCTAAGCACGTAATGGACACTCAGTACCGCACTCAAGGATTTATTAAAGCTCTGTCAATCGCATTTCTCCACAAGCCCCGAAGAAAGCGTAAAATACCACTAATCTTTCCCCCATATTTATGTAAGTGAATGTTTCCTGTGATCATGGGAAAATAACTTTTAAAAGGCAACGGAAGTTTAGAAAGGGAAAAGCATTTTTCCAAAAGGGTTTGAAAAGCAGTTGACACACAAGTCACTCTGACAGCTCTTCGAAGAGGGCTAATCATTGTGTAACCTTAACTTGTAAGTCATACTCAAGGCCAGAAATAAAAGGACAAGGTATCAGCAGTGGAGCATGAGACCATAAAGATGCTGGGCACGAGGGCCAAGCTCCGATAAGGTGGTGTTTAAAAAAAAAAAAAAAATCATGCCAAGAAGCTCTAGGACGCATTATGCTTTTGTAAAAGAAAAGTTGCAATGATGAAATTAACAAATTAACAGTGCCCACCGATCTCAGCACAAGGACACGCGGCCGGACAGCTCCAGGTGGCCGGACCCAGGCGCTTCTTCAACGGCGGCGGGAGGCAGCCGCCTCCCCCCGGGTCGGCCCCGCATTCCTGCCCGGGTCTATACTTAACCTCGGGCCCGCGCCCCGCGGCCGCCACGCCGTGCACCGTATTAGGCAATGCCCGGCGACAGGCCCGGCCCCCCCGCCCCGCTCCATTCAAGCCGCCGCGGCCGCGCCCCTCCCCCACGGCCGTCCCCGCGCCCACCCAGGGGCCCGGCCCGCGCGCCCCACGCGCCACCACGCGCCCCCGCCGGCCAGCCCGCGCCCCCGAGCCCGGCGCGCAGGGACCTGGGGGCGCGCGTACCCCGCGGTCATGGCGATGTTGTAGAAGGTGAGCCAGGCGGTGGCCAAGAAGCCGAGGCGCCTCCTCTTGCGGGTGGCCTCCCTCTCGTCGCTGGCCTCCGAGGCGCCGCCGTTGGCACCGTCCTCCTCGCTGGACGCCATGGTGGCCGCGCAGCCCGGGGACGTGGACGACAGGGGCAGGAGATCGGGAGGGGACCCGGCCGAGCGCGCAGCCCCAGCGCCGCCACCCGCCGCCGCCGCCTCCGTCAGGCGCCCCATGTGCCACGCGCAGGGGGCTCGGCGCCACCCGCCCGGCCGCCCGCTGGGGGAGGAGCGCACGCCCCCGCCCGGGTCCCGCCCCGGCCCGGCCCCGCCAGCCCCCGGGTGCGATTTCCAGGCGGCGCTGCAGTTTCCGCTGCCCTGGAGAATCCAGCCGCGTCGCTCGCCCGGGAAACTTGTTCCTGGAGAGACGCCCCGGGCTTCTGCGTCCCCGCGGTTGCTCCTCGCTGGTGCGTCTAGTCGGGACAGGCGGACGCACCTGGACTTGGCGGGGCCCTGCCCCTCCCGGCCTTCTGCAAGCTTCCCCCCAACACGCATCCCCAAGAGTTTCTGGGGAAACTCTTTTCATTTTACTGGCCAGTCGGCAGGTAGAGGGTGAATACAGTGAGACTGTCCCACGTTCGTGGCTTCCACCTGAGCCACTGTCCCTAAGGTCATTGATTTCAATTCAGCGCAGAACGCTGGATGTTGTAGGAACGTTGGAGAAAACAGCACAGGACACGACATGAAAGAAGAAAAGTTAGTACAAAAACAGGTAGCAGCCTGGCCGCTGGGCTAGGTGAGACAGTAGCGTCCTACTGTTTCCCACTCCTAACGCTTTCCTTTTCTCCTCCCTTCAATACCCGTCCTTCCTCCTATCAGCTCTTCCCTCTGTCCACTTAAAGCAGTTAAGGAGGCAGCTCTAGAGTCAGAGTGCTGAAATCCAACCCCCCAAATGCCTGACTCCACCCTTTTTAATAGATGTCTGAACTTAGCTTAACCTCTCTATGCCTCAGTTTCCCCGGTGGCGATAATAATAAAAAAATCTACAGGGTCATTGTACAACGTAAGCGATGTCACGTCCCCAGTTGAGCTAAGTGTTACCCCTATTCCGGAGACTCCGGTCTCCCTTAATCCGGTGCAGGCCCCCGGAAGCCATCTACTTGTTAGGCAGCTCTCCGGGCACTGGAGCCTGGCCACATTAGGAGAGGACCGCCAGACGACCACTTAGAAGCCAGCCCGAGAGCCCCTCGGGGTATCAAGTCAACCCCACGCGTGCAAGGTAGAAGACCAGAGAGCGCACCGCTTGGGAGAAAGAAAGAGCCGGTCTACGCGGGTCCCAGCTCTGGGCATCTCTCTCAGGTAGCACTGCCGGCTTGTTCCGGGAAACTTTAGAAAACTTCAAGGAAAACACTTGAATAGGAAAAGTCCGAAGCATGCCTAGTGAAGAAATAATGGCCCCAAATTGTTCAAATTTGAGGAAGACATGAACCCAGATGAAAAGGCATTTGAATTGGAAAGGAAGAATGGGTTCGACCTCCATCCAGGATAATACAATAGGTAGTTCATCATTTTTTGTGCCTGAGTAGTACTCCATGATGTATGTATACCACATTTTATTAATCCACTTATGTATTGATGGACACTTGGGTGGTTTCCACATCTTTGCGATTGTGAATTGTGCTGCTGTAAACATTCGAGTGCAGATGTCTTTTGTATAGAATGTCTGTTTTTTTTTTTCTTTGTTGTGGGATTAGTGCATCAAATGGTAGTTCTACTTTTAGTTCTTGGCGGTATTTCCATACGACTTTCCACAGAGGTTATACTAGTTTGCAGTCCCACCAGCAGTGTGTAAGTGTTCCCTTTTCTCTGCATCCACACCAGTATCTGTTGTTTTGGGACTTTTTGATAAAAGTCATTCTCACTGGAGTAGAGTGATAGGTCATTGTGGTTTTGATTTTCATTTTCCTGATGATTAGAGATGTTGAGCATTTTTTCATATGTTTTTTGGCCATTAGTCTATCTTGTTCTGCAAAATTTTTATTCATGTCCTTTGCCCACTTTTTAATGGGGTTGTTCGATTTTTTATTGCTGATTTTCCTGAATTCTATATAGATTCTAGTTATCAGCCCTTTATTGGATGTATAGCATGCAAATATTTTCTCCCATTCTGTTGGTTGTCTATTTGCTCTAGTGATAGTTTCTTTGTCTATGCAGAAGCTTTTCAATTTGATCAGGTCCCATTTATTTATTTTTGTTCTTGCTGCGACTGTCTTTGGGGTCTTCTTTACAAATTCTTTGCGTAGGCTGATGTCTATAAGAGTTTTCTAATATTTTCTTCTAGAAATTCTTATGGTTTAATGCGTTAGGTTTAAGTCTTTTATTCACTGTGAGTTGATTTTTTGTGAGATGTGAGAGGTGTGGATCCTGTTTCAGTCTACTACATGTAGCTATCCAGTTTTCCCAGCACCATTTATTGAATAGAGATTCTTTTCTCCAGTGTATGTTTTTGTCTACTTTGTCAAAGATCAGATAGCTATATGAGGATAGTTTTATGTTTGGATTCTCAGTTCTGTTCCATTGTTCTGTGTCTCTGCTCTTCTGCCAGTACCATACTGTTTGAGTTACTATAAGCTTGTAGTATAGCTTGAAGTCTGGTAAATTGATGGCTCCCAATTTGTTCTTTTCGCTTAAGGTTGCTTTAGCTATATGGGGTCTTCTCTAGTTCCATACAAAGCATATAATTATTTTTTCTAGATCCGCAAAAACTGATGTTGGTATTTTAATAGGGATTGCATTGAATCTATAGATCACTTTGGATAGTATAGACATTTTAACAATGTTGATTTTGCTGACCCATGAGCATGGTATGGTTTTCCTCCTGTTTACCTCCTCTGCTATTTCCTTCCTCAATGTTTCATAGTTCTTCCTGTAGAGATTAAATATATTCCTAGGTATTTTATTTTCTTTGTTGCTGTTGTGAAAGATATTGAGTCTTTGATTTGGTTCTCAGTTTGACTCTTGTTAGTGTATCTGAATGCTACTGATTTGTGTACATTGATTTTGTATTATCCTGGATGGAGCTGGAGCCCATTCTTCTAAGTATGACAAGAATGGAAAAACAAGTACCACATGTATTCACCATTAAATTGATACTAATTGGTCAACACTTATGCGCACATATAGGAATTAACATTCATAGAGTGTTGGGCAGGTGGGAGGCGTAAATCCACACCTATGGATGCAATGCATGCTCTCTGAGGGATGGGCATGCTTGTCAGGTGGTGCAAAGGCAATTTATGTAACCAAAGTGTTTGTACCCCTGTAATACTCTGAAATTTAAAAAATTAAAAATTAAAAAAAAATAAAAAGAAGGGAATGGAGGAGCCCACAACTATAGGCAAGAAATGTCCTATAGATGATATTGCACGTACAGTCTTATATTTGCCTTTTACATTTTCCAGTGTAAATTAAATTTAAATATAAACATGAAACACTATCTTAAAAAACAAATAAATTGGAAAGGAAGAAGTAAACTGGAAAGTGGAATTTCATCAGCATCCAAAACCATGAACTATAGAGGGATAAATTTACCAAAACATGTGCAAGTCATATACACTGAAAACTATTAATATAAATCTCTGCTGAGAGAAATGGAAGACCTAAATAAATAGCTATTCCATGTTCATGAATTGGAAGACTCAATATTGTTAAAATGTTAGTTCTCCCCAAATCCCAGCAGATTTTGTTTTTAATTTGACAAGCTAACTATAAAATTTATACAGAAATGCATAGGAAGAACAAAGTTGGGGCACACACATACCTTATTTCAAGACTTACTATAAAATGACAGTTCAATACAGTGTAGTAGGCATAAGGAGAGACATCTATCTCTGTCAACGAAACAGAATAAAATCCAGATGTAGATCCATATGTATATGTTCAATTGATTTTCAACTAAGGTGCTAAGGTAATTTAATGTGGAAAGAATAATCTTTTCAATAAATAAAACAACTAGATAGCCACATAAAAAAATGAATCTCGACCCTTACCTCACACCACAAATATTATCTTGATGGATTATAATATAAAGCTAAAAGTATAAAACTTGCAAGAAAATATAGCAGAATCTTTGTGATCTTGAGGAAGGCAAGATTTCCTAGGTACAAAAAAAATTACTAGGCCGGGCGCTGTGGCTCACGCCTGTAATCCTAGCTCTTGGGAGGCCGAGGCGGGCGGATTGCTCAAGGTCAGGAGTTCAAAACCAGCCTGAGCAAGAGCGAGACCCCGTCTCTACTATAAATAGAAAGAAATTAATTGGCCAACTGATATATATATAAAAAATTAGCCGGGCATGGTGGCGCATGCCTGTAGTCCCAGCTACTCGGGAGGCTGAGGCAGAAGGATCACTCGAGCCCAGGAGTTTGAGGTTGCTGTGAGCTAAGCTGACGCCACGTCACTCACTCTAGCCTGGACAACAAAGCGAGACTCTGTCTCAAAAAAAAAAAAAATTACTAATAATAAAAAAGGAAAAAAGACAAATTGAACTTCATAATATGTGCAATGTTCACTCTTTCAAAGGCAACACTAAAGAAGTGAAAGTATTCACAGTACATGTATCTGACAAGGAATTTGCATCCAGAACATTAAATGAATACTTGCAACTCAAAAAATCAGATTTTTTTAAATGAGCAAAGGATTTGAATAGACATTTTCAAAAGAAGATATAGAAGTGGCCAATAGCATATGCAAAGATGCTTAATTTTATTTGTCATTTGGGAAATGCAAATTAAACCCACAATGAGATACCACTACACAACCACTCAAGTGGCTAATATTTCAAAATGTTGGCAAGGCTTCGGAGCAATTGGCCTTCTCATACAGGGCTAAAGAGATACTGCTTTGGAAAACAATTTGACGATTTCTTAAAATGATCAACATATACTTACTTTCCACCTGATCCAGCAATTTCATTCTTGGTATTTAACCAAGATAAATAAAAACATGTATCCATACAAAGACTAAGAACAAATATTCATAGCTGCTTTAGTCATAGTAATTCCAATAATAACCTATGTGTCCATCAACACATCAATGCATAAATAAATTATAGCATATTCATACAATGGAATATTACTTAGCAATAAAAAGGAACAAACTACCGTACATGCAACATGAGTGAATCTCATAAACTTTATGCTGAGCAAAAGAAGCGAGACACAAAATGGTACATATCATATGATTACTTTTGTATGAAACTCTAGAA